ACATTTTATCTTTTAAATTATAAACTAAAAAATATACCAGGTGGGTGGGCATTCTTTCCTTCATTAATTTTTTGGGACAGCAACCAAAATCTTACAGTACTTTAGGCAACCAGAGGTACATTTAAGTTAAGGTTAGATTTGGCGCTGGTTCAAATCTGAGCTTGGACACCCATGAAATACCAAGAAATTAGTGGCATCAATAGGATGGTAAAATTCCTAAAATATAACTCACAAATATTAAAACAAATTGGTGTACACACTTGAAAGCAGTAGCAAAACTTCCTGTTTTGGTCAAATGCTGTGTCATCAACAAACTCTACTGCTTTTACTGAGCTTAAAGGAATAGATCCCTTGCATCTTCCACGTTTCTGAAAGAAGACAACAAGAACTAAATAGGGAACACATTACAGTACTGTGCAAAAGCACTGCCAACAAAAATTGCCAAAATTCATTTTTGGTTCCTTCAAGGTTTCATGGAACTTTTGTGCAAAAGTTTGTGAAAAGATTCTCACCTGCACTCCACATCATTTTGCTTGGAAAAAGGGTGACATTTTGTTAAGTTTTTGTTAACAAATGAAAATTTTCCTATGGTCAAAAGTTTGCTTTGGAAAAACAAAACAATTCTCTCCACCACATGCTCAATCTACCTTTCGTACAATGAGAGAACCTGTGCAAACTGTTTCTCATCAAAACATCCATAGAACTTTTTTAACTAGTACTTGAGCTTTAAGATGCTTGCAAGCTCAAAATTTGTCTTGAATTGGTTTTCAAGTAATAAACACCAACCATAAAAATAGATAGTCCGAGGCTGCATTTGGCTACTAATACAGAACAATTTGTATAGTGATTTTTGAAGGTATTGTTGCAGATGATTTTGTATTCACCCGGTTCCACAAGAGAACAATGATTCAAGAATACACTAACTAGTTGACATTCAACAAACAATTAAAGCCACATCCAATTTTGGCTTTCCTCAGTTAGTTGTAATTGGGCATTGCTCTGTCAAGCTATTGTTCTTTAATTTTTTTAAGGTATCCAGTTAAGGATTAATTTGGATAGTTTGATATAATTATAGAATTATAGCTATGCTGACAATTTTTAATAAACCACCAGCTGTCAATGAAATATATTGACAAACTGACATTCATATTAATATTAACAATACTAATAATACGTATGATGTACGATCCTCACAGTAGAGAGCGCTATTTATGCAATAGCAAAAATCAGACCTGAAAAAAATCAGGCCTATACGGGTTTCGAACCACTGACCTCTGCAATACTAGTGCAGTGCTCTACCAACTGAGCTAACAAGCCAACTGGGAGCAGGCCGTGAAGTTGATTCGTAATAAACCCGTGAAGATAAATCAGATACAATGAATATATGAAAGTTCATAAATTTTGAACTGAGGTATTAGATACGTATGATGGAAGATCCTCGCAGTAGAGAGTGCTATTTATGCAATAGCGAAAATCAGACCTGAAAAAAAAATCGCCTGTACGGGATTCGAACCACTTTCTTCGCATCAGCAATGTATGATTATAATGTAAAAGATACGATAATATATGAAAGTTCATATATTTTGAACTGCGATTATAGATACGTATGATGCAATACGTACCTCAATTGGTAGAGCGCTGCACTAGTATCGCAGGGCTTGTTAGCTCAATTGGTAGAGCGCTGTACTAGTATCGCAGAGGTCAGTGGTTCGAATCCCATACAGGCCTGATTTTTTTCAGATCTGATTTTCGCTATTGCATAAATAGCGCTCTCTACTGTGAGGATCGTGCATCATACATATCTATAACCGCAGTTCAAAATATATGAACTTTCATATATTCATTCTACTCAATTTTGTTACAAACGATATCTATGCCTTTTCTGAAGATTACAGAATAAAATTGAACCCTACTAAATTAAATGCAAGGAAATGCTAATTAATTTTATGAGTAACCATAATTTTATTGTGAATCCTATTGTAATTGGTAGTAACACGGTCGAGAGAGTCACGACATATAAGTTACTGGGCGTTTATGTAAGCAGTGACCTGAATTGGAACCATCATGTAGAAGTTATAGTGCAAAAGTGCAAAGTGCATATGATTTAAGGGGTATAAGGAAATTACAGATACCAGCAGTGAAGATCACAACTTTTGGACTTTAATCTTTCAGGTATCTTGCTGCCTCTGCATGGAATAGCTTATCAGATGAATTAAGAATGTCTGACACTCTAGCCGCTTTTAAACGTGCCATTAGAGTTGTGTATCGAGTGGGGATTAGTATGTAATTGTTAGCATTTTATATGAGTCTTTCGATTTTAAACTTATCTTCATTTGTTTTGTAGTTATATGTTCGGAGATACTAGCACATCTAGTGCTATTCATAAATCTGAATGGAAATAAAGTCTATGTATGTATGTATGTAGGGAAACAGAAGGCTTTACTCTTTAAGTGTCCTTAAGCAATGTGGTGCATCTCTAACTTCACTGGCTAAGGTTTATACAACCATTGTTCGTCCTGTTCTAGAATATGCTGCCCCTGTTTGGCAGAATATACCAGATTTTCTATCTTATAAGATTGAGAGCATTCAGAAAAGGGCTATACGCATTATTTTTCCTTTGATGAATTACACTGAGGCATTAAAAGTCCTTAATTTAACAACTCTAAGTGACAGACGCACCCATCTATGCCAGGTTTATATTGATAGACTCGGGAATGAGACTCACCCCTTGAATTTTATGCTCCCCAAACAGGAAGAGGTTGTGCATAATTATAATCTAAGATCTGGCATTAGCCACTCCATGTATCCTACTTGTAGGACCAAGCGTACGTAGGAGTTCGTCACCCATAAGTATACCTAGTGGCTTGTATAATTATGCCTTTTAGTATTATTGGATTTATTGTATTATATTTTAGTATTATATGTTTTGTAAATAGCTCTGTAATTCAGCCGTTTTGTATATTGCTGCAATGAGTCTTAATAAACAGTCTTTAGTCTTTTTATGTGGAAGAAGAGTTGTGCCACTATAAATAGAGAGCATATTACAGTAAAGAGTAAATTAATGTAATTTGAAATATTAGCTGGCCTGTATATAAGGTTGAACTGAAGCTTACAACCCATAAGATTTTGGGTGTAAGAAATGTAAATTGTCGATTAATAATTTGAATGCTTGACATGACCCTTTGTTGACTGAAAACACACATAGAAAATGTTAATCAGTGTATTTTCTAGATAAAATATCATGTTTGCTGGGAAAATGGAACTGACTCAAGCTCTTTGATATTCTTTAGATTGAGGCATATTTATGCTTTTTCTACAGATTTCTGTTTTGCAAATTACAGATTTTCATTTCGTTTCGTGTCATTTTGTTTTGCAAATTACATTAAGCCAAATGTAACTCAGTACATCTGTTTGTTGTTAGAATGCACCTCAACCATGAAATGATATCTTGGCATTTATTGCAATGTTTTATATATTTTCCGACATTTTAACTGTCAGTAAAATTGTCAAGGGTCAATTTTTTAAACTTTTTTTTCGTGTCAAACGGAGTATTATTATTTGAGTGATAGTTTCCAAGAAAATTTTTGTTAAATTATTGAAATGTATGCAAGTTATTTACAAATTGATTTTTGAACTGAATTCTTTAGCCCACTGAAGTGTGAATAGGCAATTATAGCTTGTCAACATAAATGACACGAAAGGGTTTCTTGCGGCAAAACATCTTGGTCTTGAATTTTGATTGCATAAACATCTCCTGATTTCAGTTGCACGGGGAGATCTTGGCTATCTGTTTGTATTCAAAACTAGAATGTGAATGAAGAAAGATAAAAAGGAGAATAGTTTGTTGGTGAAAGTGTAAAAGAAGTGTGGCTTTCAGTACAAGAAGTAGAGAAATTTGAGGCAGAATGGCAAAAGAAAGAAACTAGCAGAAAGGAATAAAGGCTTGTGGTTTAGGCAATCTTTTCTGCTTGCACTTGACTTGCAACTATTAGTTTTCATTGCTGCAGCATGCTTAAGCTGCTTTTAAGTTGCTGAAAGTCTCCTGAGACTCCGCAGGATGCATCTGTGTTTCTGTTAGCATGCATCATTTCAAGGTTCTCAGAGTGTTGACATAACTTGTGATGTGGTCACCTGAAGGCATGTTTTTTGGGAAAACTTTGGAAGCAAAAATAAACCTTCATTGTTATGAAAATGTGCCTTCTTGGAATGAATTACCGGTTAAAGGGTATGTAAACTTTACGGATTGTCTTGAAATTAGGTCTGAAGACACGGTGTTGGAGAATTCCATTTTCAGAATGAATGTCCCATTATGGCCTCCCCCATAATGCATTTCAGTAAAATTTTGATCAACAAACATGACAATTATATCGCAAAGCAACCAACAAGAATATTGAAAAATCCCCTCATGGTTTGAAAACCAATCCCTCACTACTGAAATTAAGTAGATGTTTTGTTTGTGTGTAGATTTGATATGCAGTTAATTCACTCAAAGAAGCATTATCCATTGCAAATTGTTGTTCTTATTGATATATATATATAGTTTATGGTGGTTAGAATTTTTTTTTTGTTAAGGACACCTGCAAAGGCCTACTGTATCCTTAACTCATTAATGGTACACATTGTAAAAATTTACTTCTGCTCATTTGCACCAAATTGCACTTGAAATTATGTTGTTACTAATACATATTGTATCCATGGGATTCTTTTGCTGAGAGCTGAATGTTTGCAATTTGTAACCGTTCATATACGGTGTTCTCTGATTTCAAACCAAACAAAATAATCCTCTCATTATGCTAATCAACAACTAACTTTTGGCCTTAGTTGGTGATAACATTTCTTTCTGTGCTTTTACAATTTACTTTCAGCCTGTAGAATGTTATCTGCACAGTATCTACATGTATATTTACAAATGGTAGAAAAAGACCTTAATTAAAAAGCATTAATTTATTTTGTCAGTACTTAATTAGTTATAATGTATTACTCTCACACTGCATCACTAGGGTGGAAACTTACAAGACGAACTAAGAGAACAAATCTTTGTGACTGTTGGAAGGTTAGCTTGCAAGATAACAAGTGTTGACAAGGTGCATTTATTTATCAGGTGTTTTTTCTACGCACTACTTAAGGACTTGTGTTTATTTATACTCAATTTTCCACTCTTCGTGAACCTTATCACGACATTGTACGTTACCTCACTTAAAGAAAAAATTGTACACCTCAATGGTAGTATTGTATGGAACCATTTTTCAAGTGACTTTGCATTAATCATTTGAGAAACATGGTTAAGGATACGTACTTTTACAAGAACATTTTGTTGCATAGTTTGCTATGATGAGATGCAATTTAAATAACATGTAGTGAACTTCAATATTGTTCTATTCTTTTGTATTTTTGCAGACCCAGCTAGTTTGTCATGTGCCTTCTGAAGATAGCCATTCCCCACAAGCAACTGATGGACTGTATCCTGTTAAGGTACATGTATGTTTAGTAAGCCAGCTTTGACAATGTCAGTTATGTTCCAGATATGTTCCAGTTATGTTCCAGGTAAACTGAGTCAAGTACTCTATTTACCTGTGTATAGTACATGCCCATGTATAATGCATACCCTTGTTTTTAACCAAATTTATCAGAAAAAAAAGTTTTCACCAGAAAAAAAAGAAAAGTTAAATCTTCTTGCAATCATTTATTAAGACAGCAAGAACAAGAAATTTGCTATATTGTTGACACTAATATCTCCTGCTACCTATAGTTATTTATGACATTATCGAAACCAAACATTAGTACTTCAAGCGAGGCCTAGCTAATTTGACAATTCCATGGCCCATTATTATGTGTGAGCAACAATATGTCTGAAAAGTATTGAAGATTTTGTGTCAAATCGTTGTATTTTTAGAATTTTCAACCTATGCAATTTTCTGGCCACAATGAATTCCACTATGTTCTTTTGTACACATAAGAAATTCATAGGTTTTTCACTTATAACAGAAAATCAAGAACTGCTTTGAATAAAGCTGTTGTTTTGAAATATTTCTCACTCACTTTCATCTTGCTTCTCATTGAAAAATTCCATGTAACACGAGATCTCTTAACACAAGGCCATATTTGCATATTCAGTTTGAAATCTGATCAGTGTGCCTGTTTGCACACTTGCAAAAATATTTAGCAATTTTTGTCTTTCATCTTTATTTTTAGAATAAAAACTTAATGATTTTTTTCACTGCAAATAAGTTATTTAATTAAAGCTTTTTTTACTTTCTTTGTTGTGTTTTTAAGTTATGCAAATCAAGACATGCCTGACAAACAATGGAACTCGAGTATAATATGCACTGCAATTTTGATGGTTATTTCTATAGAAATAAAGTGCATATTATACACGGGCAAATACAGTACATGAAGTCAGCATTTAGTGCTAAACCTCCTACCTGCTTTAAACAAGAATGATTTTCTTTCTTGGTCTGACAAACCTTTTTAGGCTTTCAAATTATCTGTACTAGTTCCCCTCAAAAACATTTCTTTGCTTGTGTGATGGGACCTTGTAAGGACAGTAGACTGAAGTGCTTCAAATGATGGATTGGTTGGGATGTCTACATTGTATGTAACAGAAGGCCTTGATGTCATGTTCCACATCCAGTCAGCTAATTGCTGTCGGAAACTTTCTTGTCAGCTGGCATTTTTTACTAATCTCAACCCATGACAAAGAAGTGCTAAAGTCTGGAATATGATTTCATCTTTTCTATCTATCCTCTTCAACTAAGACCCTGTAGATGTAAAAGTCTATTACTGATCTAATGCGCTGTTGAACTACTATGATAATATGACAAAGAAGTGCTAAAGTGTGGAATATGATTTCACCTTTTCTTTCTATTCTCTTTAACTAAGATCCTATAGATGTACAAGTCTATTACTGATGTGGTGCACTGTTGAACCACCATGATAATGTTAAAGTGCTTTTCTTTCTTTTTTGGCTCAGGTTGTTGTTGGCTATCTAGATTTTCCTTTGGGTAATCTTGAGTACTTTAAAGAGGAGGAGAGCAAGGTTATTCCAATTGAAGTTTGGATTGGAGTGGGTGGTGGAGTTCTTCTTATTTTCATCATTGTTGTCATTATTGTTTGCTGCAATCGCCGTTCTCGTCGTAAAAAGACAAAAACTATTAAAAACCTCGAGGTGCAGATGAATAATTTAGAGTCCAAAGTTGCTAGAGAGTGCAGGGAAGGTGAGTGTAAAGTTTGAGTGATATTAAGGGGTGTACTGATATAGAAGATAAAACCTTGCCTGATGGTGGTGTGTTTTCTGCTTAGTCATGTTTTCTGGCTGTAACACAATCATGAATAATACAGTTACAGCCTGTGCAATGCACCTTCCCTCGTGGGATTGTGCACTAGGATATAGAAAGAAAAAAATGTTCTCATCATGTTCTGTACAGTAGTAAATACAGTACTGCTCTCCTATCTTATGATCAGAATTGTTTTTTAATTCTGATTACTTTGTCTCATTTTAGCTTTTGCTGAACTTCAGACAGATGTGACAGATTTGACAAGTGACCTGTCTAGTTCAGGAATGCCATTTTTAGATTTCCGCATGTATGCATTGCATGTGTTGTTCCCTGGTTTAGGTGATCACCCTGTGCTTCACAAGAACAAGGTAAACAAGAGACCAGTCTTGTTCAGGAGTGCCATCTCTAGATTTCCACTTGTATGCATTGCATATGTTGTTCCTTGGTTTAGGTGATCACCCTGTGTTTCACAAGAACAATGTAAACAGTTGAAGAAATGGTGTCTATATTAAGGATATATGGAAAACTTGGAATGCTATCTCTAATACAAATGTGAGCCTTGATATGAAAAGGTATTCTTAGGGTGAGAGTATGCTACATCTAAGTTCTGTGGGTGATGAGAAGGATAATATAGGGTAAGAAAGGACAATTTTTCTGGAGGTCTAAGACTCAAGATTAGTGCATGTTAATATCCCCTGATTGATGTTTGACTTCACGGCTTGAATTGTTATTACTGTTCCTTTTGATGTTGTTAGGAGAAATGAAATTCTGTCTCAGTCACTCGTGGGAGTTAAAAGGTTAGGACCATGAATGTGTACGTTAGTGGATGATTTGATATTCATGTGAACTTTTCTTATTATGTTCTGAAGGGCATTCTCACAGAAAACTGGGAGAAAGGACTTCGACAATTCTCCCAACTAATCTTCAATAAAAAATTTCTTTTGGTATTCATACGGACCTTGGAGTCACAAAATACCTTTCAGATGAAAGACAGGTTGGTTTTGCTCTCTTATTCAAGAAGGAAACTTTTAGAATTTTCAGTTCCTCTTCGACAAGGTTGAGTAAGGGGGACAGATTTTGGGTGAAGGAACAGGTAAATGGAATTACAAAGTTTGGACTACTGTTGTATCAGACAGACAGACATCTATATTTATACAGGATAGCCCCTTCAGTGCAGTAAACACTGGTATCAATGGGGGTCCCAGGGGAGGACATCCATCACACAGTAATCTCGTGCATGGGAAGTTAATGTCTCCTGCCCCTAACCCTGCAGGAGACAGGACCTCCATTTATTCGTCCCTATCCGAGAAGACTAGAATATCTAACCATTTCTTGATGTTATAGAAAGGTAGCATATTCTCAATTATTTTAAGACCCTGAGTGTTGGTCTGGCCGGGGCTCGAACCCTTGACCTCCCGCACAACAGTCCAGGGCTCTATCCATTGAGCTAACCAGGAGGTGTTTTAATCATGAACAACAATATTTCTTAATGCACAAGTATGACTAGTTCCCATAATTAATGAAATTACAATTGTTTACCCCTCACAGGTGCAATGTTGCATCTTTGTTGATGGTGGCTCTGCAAGCTAAGATGGAATATGCTACTGAGTATGTAATCCATATTTATTTGTTGTTCACAATGGAGTGGGGGGTTTCAATTTGTATTTTTACCACAATTGGCAGAAATGTCAACATCTGATAGGCCAATTTGCCATTTTCAATAAATGTACAGATAAAGCTGCTGACATTAACATGGCATGCAAGGTGTCACAAACTGAAAGAATCCTTTTATTTGATGTCAATATTGTGGTAAAAAACAAACTGTCAGTTGTTTAGCATGGTCTGTACTCTTATCAGCAATGATATTCATTATGACAATGGTCAAAATTTGTTGCTGACTTGCTTGACTTTGCCTTGTGAGTCCACAATGTTTTGACCACTATGATGACAAATAATCTTGTTGATAAGAGCACAGACCATGCAAAACCACTGTCTATTTGGTAATCCTATGATATGTTCCTGAGCAACAAGCACAATAAGTGCAGGAAAAAATTAATAATGTTGAGTGTTGAATGTTGGATTCTGTGATCATATGAAATGGATGATCTTTAAAAAATTTCCTAGGGGGACGACTAAGAGTCTCAAACCCAAATTTTGAAAAGCCCTACAAGTGTGAAGTAAAACTGAAGAGTTCATTATGAAAAACCACTTTTGCCATTTGCATGTCTATTTCTTTGAACAACATGTCTGTCTTTGTTGCCAGCATACTAAAGGAGTTACTCTGCGAGTTGATACGCAAGTCAGTTGCAAAGAGTCATCCAAAGCTGCTACTAAGGAGGTAAGTTAGTCATAACTGATGATTTGCCATTGAAATGAATATGTTTGGGTAGATTATATTAAATGTTACCCCTGTGCTAGGATCTGAGATATTAATTTGTCACTAGTAATAAAGTGCCTCACAGTACACTGTGAGATTTGGTTCCAGGTTGTGCACAAAAATATCTGTACAAGGTCTTAGATTTTTTATTTTTTAGAGAATTTTACTATAATTGTTTCCAGCTGCTTTAGTTTCATGGTATTAAGTTTTTTTCTTAAGAATTGGATCCAGAGGCAGCAAGGGGACTGCACATTATAAATATGATTTTAGAATTAAAGAAGATTGGTGAGGATCAAGTGGAGGATAAGAAAGATATCAAACGAAAATAAACAACCAAGAGTTGTCAAAATCTTGTTCATAGGATGTCATAGAAAGAAAAAGTTTTTGCCTACATGTGTCTAGAGGATACTATAACTGTAATTTCTGGCCGTTTACCCGCATGGCCGATTACCTGCACTGGCCGATTATTGCATATGGTGAAAAAAAAAAGTCAACAGATTACCCGCACTGGTGGATAACCCGCACCTTAAAAACAAAGAAAATTTGTACAAAAAGGCTCTAGAATTCACAACGTTTCACACTTGACAGAATGTGAATTCGTGGCCACATTTTGTGCGAGCGATTGTTGAACACCATGTTGAATTGTTGATTTCTCAAAAAAACCGATATCTCTGGTTCTACTGGGCTTCACAAGTCCAGTAGATGGGAATATTCTCTTCAAATGGGAATATTCTCTTCAGCTCAAGCTTAAGTGTTAACTGGAAATTTGTTACTGATGCACTGGATACCCTTGGATTATTTTTGTCATCATCAAGGTTTTGTTTACACGCGCGCCGATAAAAGTTTGTTCTTCACGCAACTAATTGTGCCTGAAATAAACTCGAGTTGGCATCATGTGTTCGTGCCACTCTGTGGCACTCTTAATACAGTAAAATTCATTTGAGAGGTGGAAATGCAGGTAGGGGAGAATTTTTTTCAATTCAACTACCAGTAGATTTCAAAATTGTCACATAACCCACACCTCCCTATTACCCACAGTGCTGTGTGTTTAAGGCAAAATCAACAGATTACCCGCGGGTAAACAGGCAGAAATTACGGTACATGGCCGAGCCAGAGATATGAAATTTCTCCTAGAGTGTTGAAAAATATTTCACAAGTGAGTGTAGCAAATGAGATAAACATTTTTCAACACTTGAAGAGAATAGTAATAATAGTTTATTGAAAAACCAACATCGCAGTCATTACACTGAATTACACTGCTAATACAATGAAAAATCAATTGAAAATTACAAATTTCTTATTGAAGCCATGATGAAGGATTTTTTAAATGGATTGGTATGATAGTGGGGATCAATAAAGAGTCTGATATTTCTGAATGGGTATCTTGTGTTAATGTTGAAAGCTGGGAGTAGGTTGTATAACTTGTGGTTTGGGTCGTTTACTATGTTTACAAACAGTTTCACACATAAAAGTTGAGAATGGCTAGCAAGAGATGTTAAGTTGGAAACTTGCAATCTTCTGGTGTATGATAGACCAGGACCATAAATGATAGATAGGGCCCACTTCAGAATTCTATTTTGTTGCTAAGATTTGATGGTAAAGCGTAGTGAAATACGGGTGAACCATATTGGATGACACTACTTATACATGAAGACTACAACCTCACCATATCCAGAACAGAAATTTTTTGCACATTTGAGTTGTCTCAGAAAATACATACATTTTGATGCTCTTTTAATTATATAATTCATATGGCAGTTCCGCTCAAGGTCATTATGGATGATTATGCCAAGGACTTTAGCTTGCCTGACGAGTTTCAGGTCTTTACCATTAATCATTAGGGGGGTGCATTGCAATTTGGACCTGGAGGAAGATATGTGCATTTCTTTACACTTATCTTCATTGAAGGTGAACTTTATATTCATGGATTGGGTGCGGATCGAGTCAATGGCTGGTTGCATTTTACTCGCAATTCCTTTCTGGACAGTTTCAGCTACTGTGAGATTGTCAACATATTTCCAAAGGCTAAATCCATCAACATCTAGGTCATTAATCATAAGGATGTAAAGCCATGGTTCCAGTTTGGTCCCCTGAGGGACACCTGCTGGAACTAAGGATCAATTGGAAAAAATACCATTGCCCAACTTAACTCTGTTGACAGTTGGTCAGAAAATCAATGACCCAGGCCACACACAACCCAGTACAGTAATTCAAGAGATTGGAGCTTCAGAACCAACTGGTGGTGATTGATGAGATCAAAAACGACACTCTCACCAAGTTACCATTGCCATCTGTAGACTTGGAGAAGGGATGGATCGTGCTAATCAGGGTGTATGTGGTGGAGGAACTTTGTACCGTGAGAGATCAATCTGTTTCATGATAGCTGGTTTTATAAAACTTTTGATGGCAAACTTTTCTGCCACTTTGGACAAGATGGGCATCAACAAAATTGGTTGTAAATGTTTCCTAGTGTCCTGGACTGGTTTCTGTTTTGGTAGGGGCATGATATCTGCCTTTTTTCAAAATGAAGGGAGGTGACACTTGCGGTATAAACTTAAGTATGTTGTTAATTTCAGTACCCAGCCAGGAAGACCATCTGGCCCAGAAGCTTTGGATGGTTTGAGGTTAACAAGGAGTTAAAAGACTTTGTCCACTGTGATCATGTCAGCAATCGGAGTTGGCTAAGTTCATGAGATGTTTGTAGCAGAGTGATCTTTGTTCTCTTGATTTAATAGTAAAAGCAGATCATTTAAAGGGGAAACAGGATTCATTCCACATAGAGCTTTAACCAACTTCCACCACTGTTTGGGATTATTTCCTTTCAGATGGTTGACTTTGGATTGATAGAAGGTATTTCTGCATCTTTTATGTTTGCAGTTTACCTGAAGAGCTTTGAACTTGATCATGTTGCCATTGGCAAGGGCCTTCTGCCATTTTTGAACAAGCAATTTAAGCTGAGGCTTAACCCAGGCAGGTTCGTTGGAGTAATACTTCATTGTCTTGAAGGGTAACATTATGTCCATTCCAGTGTGAATGACTGTTTCAAAAGTATAAAGGCTGATAGTTTCTTTTGCTGTGGCCGGCAATTCTTGTTTAGTTATGAGTTGGTTGATCGTATTCTTGACGGAGTTTTGATTGCTGGCAGTGAGGTCTTTGTCGATCTTTTGATAAAAAGAGGTGTCAGAAAGTTGCCGCAAAGCTTCTTTTTGGTAGAGGTCGGTGCGCCAAACAACGACTGAGCCGCCCTTATCGGCCGCTTTGATAACTATGTCTTTGCGTTTTCTAAGACTTTTTAGAGCCGACCACTCTTCAGAAGAGAGATTAGAAAATTTGGTAATACGTTTGAAATTGAGTTTGTTGATATGGTGGAGGCATTTTTTGATAAAAAAGTCTCATGATGCAAATTGGCCCTCTGGGGGAGTCCATTTAGACTTTCGAGTCTGAAGTGTTTCGAATGTGTCTTTGTTTGAGGTGTTAGAATCATCCTCTTTGTTCTGAAAAAAGGCTTTTAATTGAACACAGCGAAAGAATTTTTCTAGGTCTTGTTTAATTGAGAATTCGTCCGTTGTTTTAGAAATGGGAAGGAAATTTAAGTCCTTAGTAAGGACAGATGTTTCAAAAGTAGCCAGCTTATCATCCCAGTTTGAGTGTAGATCAAGGATTAACCAGTCAATTTCGTTTTAAAAGGTGCTGAAAGTGGCATGGCAACTAGGTCTTATGTCTCTGACCATGATGTTGTGCTTTGCCACAGATGTTTGCTTTATCCTTAGATCTTGCCAAGATAGATACATGGTTGAAAAGTCCAAATGGTGGTAGCTTTCCAGTAGATGAATGTTCACTTAAGTTGGTTAATACAAGGTCAAGGGTGTTCACACCACAAGTTGGAAAATTGACTTATTTCTTTAACCTAAATTACTTGTAGAATCTACCAACGTCTAGTTTATTAAAATCACCAACAAAGATTAAGCCACAGTTTAGAAAAGTTGATTCTGTGGAGGAAAGCTGACTGGTTAAGTACTCCAACATAGCAGCAGCATTGGCAGAGGGTGGATGGTAGACAATTCCAATAAAAGTGATGAGAGACCTCTTGGTAGACGAAAAGGACGATTTTTAATCCAGAGGACTTCAAAGGGGAGAACGTGATATTGATGTAAGACTTTGTATGGAATAGAATCCTTTATTTACGTACAGATGCTGCCATGAAGACCAATAGTGTGATACATACATGCAATGTTATAACCAGGAATGTCAATGGATTTGTTAGGAATTAAGTCACTCAGCCATTTCTCTGTAAAACAAGCCAGGTTGACAGAGGAATTAAGCACAGTATGACAAATTTCATCAATCTTTGGAGCAAGTGACATCGTGTTAGAGAGCAGAAGAGCTGGGACATGAGCTGAAAGGCAACTCTATTGATTTGAGTTGGTGCTGGAAGCTGGATTCGCAGTTGATGTTGTTGTGGAAAAGGTGTTGTTGTGAATATTGAATAAGTCTATTTGCAAATTGGTTGTTTCACTGCTGATGTTTTGAAGATTTGTAGATTCCATTTCAAGGTTGACAGCAGTAGAGTGTTGTTTTAGTGCACTGGCACAGCAACTGCATCATATGTTGTTCTTGTTGGCTGAAGTTGGGTAAGCGTCTTCCACAATGAAGAGTTCAGTGACTGTGGCTTTAACATTGCAAAAATTGTGTTCAGGGCAGGTCAAGAGTACGCGTAGGCCATTGCAAGACTAGCGGGAGAGAACTGATGTAAACACTTGGGTGTAAAAGCAGCAAAAACCAAGAAAAAAAATGTAAAATTGATAAAAATTGATTGAAATTTGGAAGTAAATAAGGTTTGCTGCCTATTGGGGACTCCCTCGGGACTCTCCAAGCTATGTACTATTCCAGTTATAATATGAACACTTATTTAAACAAAACCACTGTGTCCACTGTTGCACCAGGCAGTCATGCTACATGCCATCTCTCCGATTTCCATGGAACTTTGCCAGTTTAAAGAGGCTACTCCAGAACTCAAACAGACAAACTGGTTTCTGTTTTGGTTGTTTCAGAGGGAGGTTTCTTTCTTCTGGTATTTATTACTTTGGAAATTTACTAAAGTCAGCAACTATGGCTCTGGTACGTTTATTCTGTGGTTTATTACAGTGGAAATTTGCTAAAATCAGCAAATATGGACTTGGCATGGCACAAAACATTCATCGGTGTTTGATTTGATTGGTTATTATCATTATTGCACAGTTTACAATTAGGACATTGCAACAGTAGGAGAGGAGAGGAGATTTTGAAGTCATAGGCCACATCCTTGTTAGCATACAAGTTCCCTTGTTCAACAACTTCGGTTTTTGCAGGCAGTAGATGACAAAACTCTGCCCTCTTGCTTGAAAGGAAATATCACTAGCTCTACCAAATTTATTGACTACACTATTTTTCTAGAAAAATGAGACTGGAAAATGTTGTTTCCACCTTTCTTGAGAAGCACGCAAAATTGTTCACTTTTTTTTTTTCACGATAACACTTCTAGAAGTCCTTCTTTCTGGATGCAGATATCATCTGCATCTGCCATTATTTTTAATGAATGTCATGGCCTTTCCTGAGTGCTCATACAAGCCACCTATGTATTGTGGGTGTCAAGTTTAGGCGTGAGGGTCTTGCTTCAAAGATTTCTGCATGCTGCTAATGGGCAAGCAACATGGGTTCCTCTTTTTTTAATTTTCTCTCCTGCATTACCATTTTTTTTTATTCCTCAGTGCATTCCCTCAGATTTGGAAGTAGGATCTATGGAAAGCCAATATTGACCAAAACTAAAATCCTCTCTACTACTATTTGTTTCACAGAACCCCTGTCATTTATTACTTTATTTTTCAACAGATTGAGTTTTTATTTGCTATTTATTTCTATTAGAACATGTAACTAGGCCTGACAAGGCTTATGTTTAGTGACTCCCACTCCATACCATCAACTGTGTTTGCAACAACAAAAATGCAAGCAAGACTTTGAGAAAAACAAAGTTAATTACTCCTGAGTGAGTAGTTGACTGTGTCATATATCCCCTTCCCCTACCCTGACAGAATAGGAATAATTAAATTGTCAGTAAGGAATAATTTCAACAAATTGTGACTTGTCATGAACAAGTATTACAATATTTTAACCTTTCACTGAGTAGCTCTAAAATCCCTCAAATTGATTCTGCTTCTTTTACATATTTTTCATCTAAATTTTACATCCAATTTAATAGAATTGTCACCTTTTTTAACATTCTACTATCTTTTGGTGAAAAATCTTTCAGTTTTAGAGGGTAATTCATTAGGTACAGGTGTTTGCATCATCAACCTTTTTTTCTGGGGGATTTCAATTTGCGTTCATGTCACAATCATGTGTATAGTCATACATGACTGTAGAACTTTTGTAACCTTGTAATCAATGAACTTTGATTATGGAAAGACATTCAAAATAATTCATCCTGATGAAATGTCTAACAGTTGATATCCCTTCCAGAACTGAGTCTGTTGCAGAAAAGATGCTAACCAACTGGCTGGCCTTCTGTATGTATGATTTCCTCAAGGTAGGTAACCCAGATCCCTGCTGATCAATGAAATTTTACTTTTTAATAAATTTTAGTTTTGATAGATAAGTGATTATTTGGTTTAATTCATTATAGGGGGTAAGTTTCTAAAGAAGTAATTTGGTTTTATCAACTAAGTTGATAGTATAAATTGGCCACCATAAAGTGTTTAAAAGCTGACGTTTCGACCATTAGCCCCTCGTCAGAGAAACTGTGGTGGGAGTAACAAGGTAATATATATATAAATATATATATATATTTTTACAGAGTTGATAAGGTAAATTGGCTTCTGTAAAGAGTTTTGAAGCTGAAGTTTCAAGCATTAGCCCTTTGTCATTCCCTCTGACGAGGGGCTAATGCTTGAAACATCAGCTTGAAACTCAACTCAGTTGATAAAACCAAAATTACCTAGTTTTAATACTTTTGAGACTTAAATTTTGTTTTGCAGAATGATGCCGGAGAGCCATTGTTCATGTTGTTTAAAGCACTGAAACAACAAACCGAGAAAGGACCAGTAGATGCAGTCACTGGTGAGGCAAGATATTCACTTAGTGAAGACAAACTTCTCAGACAAGCTCTGGAGTTTAAGGTGAATTATTTGATGAGTTATCATGTAGATTTTTTACAATGTAGGATTACGAACAAGTAATATTTGTTTTCTTGATTGGGATCAATCTCTAAAGTTCTGCTATATTTTTGTTAATTGCTTGACTATGTTCTTTTTTTTCTTTTGCTGTTAGCCTCTAAATGTTACAGTTACTTACGAAAGCAATCAGCCCATGACAGTTTCATTGCTGGATTGTGACACCATCACTCAGGCAAAAGAGAAGATTTTGGATGTTGTGTTCAAGGTATGAGATTATTTTTGAGACAATATCATCCATCAGGATATTTAAGGCAGGCTTGAAATCTAGGTCCTACACAGCCCACAGTGTACAAAACCTGCAGCTTTAGCAGATTTAGGCAGTAAGTTTGCATCTTGTTTAGGTGGCTGCTGGCTTAAGCCTTGTGTACAATACTCTCTTTAATGACACATGTGATGAACCTTTGAAATACCAATTTAATTGCACTCACTTTTGCTCAGTGCAACAATTGTTTCATCCCTCCTCCATTTTATCATGGTATAGCACAAGCTTTCCTGAGATGGTTACAACTTGATATGCATCACATGATAATCAGAATATTGCAAATATACTGTGCATGCATTCCATTCTTATTGTCTTATTTTCCTTGTTTAAATGTCCACTTGTTTAAATGTACTATTCCTTGTTTAAATGTACTGATATATGAAAACTTTCAGCCTTCAGGAACGACTACTTTGATTGTTATCATGAAGAATACTAATATATCTTCATGGCATATTTAGGCAGATTTGTCATTTGATTTGTCATTTTTTGTGGTGGTAAAGTTATTTTGTTAACATGCATCTTTATGATTTATTCATGAGAACTCTTTTTATTGTAGAATTCCCCATATTCAAGTCGTTCAGATAAAGATGATCATCAGCTCGGTGAGAATTTTATGAAACTGTTATTTTTGAATGTTAATGTAGGAACTCTGTATTTTAGAATTTCCTTGTTTTTAAACTACTGGTAATCATTATGGTTCCTTTAATTTATGCAGAATGGGAGCAGAGTTCTGGAAGGGTTATCTCTCTGCGGGATGATGATTCTAAGTCATTAATTGAAGGAGAATGGAGGAAGATTAATACACTGAAAGATTATGAGGTAACCTGCAATGGCTGTGTAGCCTTGAGTGGACTGTGTAGCCTTGAGTGGACTGTGTGGCCTTGAGTGGACATTTTTCAGCACTTCTACTTGTCCATTTGTTAACTTTGAATAAAGCTGTGGGTGAAAATTGGTTTCATTTGTATCTTTCTATGGGCTGCTATTAATTTTGGTAGCCATAAAAATAAGAAGTGATTTAAAGCTCATGAGGTATTATTGAAGTCATGAAAATATACTTTCAATAGATAGTATGAATGTTTGAGAAATTAGAAATTATTTAACGAAGAATCCTATCAATCTGCTATCTATGGTAGGTGACCGATGGTGCTACACTGAAACTTGTTACTGGACAAAGATTCTTTTGCAGCTCAACGGACTCTGGTGAGCTGAAGAATTGTATATCTAGAAAAATGCTACATTTCTGAAAACCTACTATTAAACATTAGCCAAGTGGCTTATCCTGATTGAGTTTATCTCATTTTCTATTGCACTAAGCAACCGACACTACATGACTCCCCTTGCATGGAATTTTTGTCAATGTTAGGTCAACTCCCATCTTGTAGAGAAGCAATGTGATAGCATTCAGTATCTTACCCACCAACACAACACAGTGACTCGTGTCTCTCAGTAAAGTGATGATTGATGATAACAGATGATTATTTATTTCTTTCCTATTAAGAGTTAAACAAAAAGAATGTACTGCGAGTTGGCTTCAGTCCTGCCGGAAGTTACAGCCCTTTGGCAGCTATGAATACGGATGGACCAGATGAGGGTGGCAAGCTGTGGCATTTGGTATGGGCTCTCTTTTTAAGTTGAAAGTTGATTTTTAAGTTATGCTCTCCCTAGCTAATGAGGCATTTTTCTATCAGTATTTGCATGAGATGGAATGCACACTTTACATTCAGGACTTCTTGAATCATTTTGTGGTTACTAAACATTTACAAAGCTTCATTTATAACCTTTGATTTGTCACATAAAGGCAATGTTTTTTTAAAAAAATGCAAATGACAGATTTTGGTTCATAAATATACAATTTTATTATCAAGTTAGAAGTAACAGTCATTATTATATTTAATATATATTTTTATAATATTTGTAGTCTGGCTTCATTTATTTGCATGGCACAGGTTAAACAAATGGATTACCCAGCTGATAGAGCAGAAGATGATCATAACAGCAAGTTCTTGTCAGAGATTTATCTAACTAGACTGTTGATGACAAAGGTAAGCTCTATCACTGAGTAAAAACCACAGAAACTTTCTCCAGTTGAAATCATTGATCCAGTGATGACTGAGGTTCTTTATTCCTTGTTTCCAAAATGAATTGAAAGAATCCCAATAAATTATAAATAAAGGTTGAAAGTTTCTAAAGAAACTGTGGTGTTGCTTTGATAGCACTTAGCCAATAAATTATAACCTGGTCAGCTTGAACCTTTGGGCCTTGTAACTCAAACAAAAATGAATTTTTTTTAATTTCCTCCAAACATTATTGGCTGTCATTTATAGTTTTCTTGGTTGCTAACACAAGATAATTGTATGGGCTGCATTTATTCTCTTTCTTTGCAGGGTACACTTCAGCAGTTTGTAGATAGGCTTTTTCACACTGTATTCATGAGGTATCGCCGTGGCTGCAGCTTACCTCCAGCTGTCAAGTTCCTGTTTGATCTGCTTGATACACAAGCAAGAGAACTCAACCTATCAGATCCTGAAGTCTTGCATACATGGAAAAACAACAGGTACATGGCAATAAGTAACAAAGGCATTCTGAAAACCTCAAATTGGACAAGTGAATCAGGGTCTAAGTCTCTTTCCTTTTCAAAAGAGGAACCAATTTTTGAACTGTTATAACAGTGTTACTTGTTCAGTAATAAGTTTAAAGTATAGGACATTTCTAGTAAATTATTCATGAAATTGTCAATAAACTGGAAATTAAAAGAATCTTGGATAGCTGAATTGGTTAGACTCTCCCGGTTAGCTCAATTGGTTAGAGCCTCCCGGTTAGCTCAATTGGTTAGAGGGCTGGATTGTTGTGCGGGAGGTCGAGGTTGATGGTTTGAGCCCCGGCCGGATCAACACTCAAGGTCTTAAAATAACTGAGGAGAATGCGCTACCTTTCTATAATATCAAGAAATGGATAGACATTCTGGTCTTCTCAGATAAAGACGAATAAACCGTGGGTCCCTTCTCCTGCATCTATTAATTAGTTAATTTGGTTAGGCAGGGGACATTAAAGAACCCACTCACGAGATTACTGTGATGTGGTCTGGCCTGTTTACAGGGAATTGGGGGGAGGGGGCNTGTTTGTAAACTGCTGATGCAGTCCGGCCAAAGTCCCCCAAAAAGTGTTGTGATGTGCATTTGATCATATCTTCATGTTAATTTGCGCAATATAAATATTAAATTATTATTATTATTATTATTATTATTATTATTATTGGATAAATTTTACTTGCAAATATCTAAAAAATCAGGGTAAGTTTGAGCACTCTATTTTCCTTGACATGGTTCCTTGTCCATTGCATTGTTCAAGGTCATCATTGCACAGGTGTAGGAGGAGCAAAACACTTACAGATTTAGTCTAAGAATTCTCCTTTACAGGGGAACAAACCAGGATCTATTTCATCTCCATATTAAATTACTTTAGTAAACAAAGTCAGCAAATTTTATTGGTTACTTGAATTTTCTTTATTGTGAACTTGACATTATAATTGAAGAAAATATGACTACAACATTCGTGTACACAACTGTAATTGATCAGCTTCATTTTAATTGTTTCAGAATTTGCTTTACTTTTGTTTTATACTTCCAAATGTGCCTTAGCTCCAACTATGTATTGCTTGGTCAGAGTAAAGCAAAATGTTTTTGCCTGGTTAAGCTCAAATTCACTGGATGTAATCTTCATATTTTTATTTCTTTTTCAGTCTGCCATTGAGGTTCTGGATAAATATAGTTAAGAATCCTAACTTCATATTTGATGTTTGCAAGTCTGCTATTGTTGACTCATGTTTGTCTGTTGTTGCACAGGTAAGATCTCTAGCTATTACTTGGTGGGCAAACTAACACTCAGACCAAATACTCTGTCTGGGTGGGCTGTTATGGAATGTTCATAATCTGTTCTTATGTGACATGTTAAAATGTTTTCATGAGTTGTGTGCTCTATCAGCTAGTATCAGATGCAGCTGTTCTAATGAACTGATACCCAGTTTTTCCTCTCGCTAACCAAAAGGACTGAAAGTACTCACCATCAAATCATTTGGTTGGTAATAACTGCTGACCAACTGGGTTTAATGTATTTCCTATCAAACCATCTGGTTCCAGGTAATGACTGCTCACCAAAGGTGTTAAATAAATGTACTTACTATACCATTAGCTCATCTTGTTGGCAATGACTGCTGACTGGCAAGGGTTAATGTATTTACATCAAACCATCTGGTTGAAAAGGACTGCTGACCAGCAACACACATTTACCCACCATCAACCCATCTGCTGATTGCTAACTTCATGGTTAGGTTAAACATTCTGTTATGTCCAAATTCATTAAGAAATGGTATCCACCCAACCAAGGAAGTATGATGTGCACAATATTTTAAAAGGCATAATGCAAACCATTAAGTGTCCCAACCAGAATGTATCACTCCATACTGTCAGTAAGAACCTCAGATAACTTGACAATAGTTTAGAAATTGATTGATACTGATATCTGTATTAATACATTTTTTCATCTTTTAAGTTGTTTATGGATTCCTGTTCTGTGTCCGAGCATGTCCTTGGAAAGGTAAACTATATCATTTCTCATCTAGTGTTAAACTTCGCTCTGATGTAAAATCCAAATAGTAAATCATTATATTTCTTCTTAATGTGCAGGATTCACCATCAAATAAACTGCTTTATGCAAGAGAAATTCCAGGATATCGCCAAGATGTTGAAAGGTAAGTCACCAATATGTAGCACAAAGAATTTCTTGATGTAAAATGTGAGTTATAAATATATTTATTTTATTTAAATATAATAATTTTCATATTTTTGTTCTCTAGTGCCTGTGTTCTGATTGAATACAAAAATTATAATAATTGTAATAATTATGCAATTTATCAGACAGAATAGTGATTTAAGCTCATCTATGGAAAAGTGAATTACAGGAAAGAAATGAGCAAAAGAAGGGATAAGAATTACACTCTTTTCAGTTTGTTATTGTTTGATGAAAGATTGTGTATTAACATTTACACTGAAAAATTTTAAAGAATGACATGAATATTGTTCCTATCCAGTAAATCCAATTTTTTAAAGAAATTGTAGTAATTGGCTTGTTAACCATCATAGAAAATGATCACAACTAATCTTGTGGTAAATAGCTCAAAGCGTGTGTTATATTCCTATTTTACAGGTTTTATTCTGATATACAAGCATCACCTTCCCCAACACCTCAAGAGTTGTCAAAGTTCTTTAGTGATTTCTCTATGGTAAGTTTACTACACAAGTAGCCCTTTCGTTTTCGTTAATTGCAAAGGAAATTTTAGAACAAGTGAGCTAGCTGGTAGGTGGCAACAGATGAACCATTTAACAAAGGTTTGTAAACATGCCAAGTGCCAGAAATGATGCCATTATAATGTGAGCAAAGATAAACATCTTCAAAGTGAAAACAAAATGGACTGTTCAAGTTTTGAGGTTTTCCCACTCAGATTACAAGCTTACGGATGGTAATAAACTCAAACACCGCTGGCACTTACATATATAATTATTATGTAATTTCATTTTCCAAAATGGAACACAACTAAAAGTATAACCCAAATTGGCCTAACTGTTAAATTTCATGCGATTCATGATGGTGTTAGAGTAGCCTGCGAAGCAAGCCCTGGGGGAGAGGAGGGGGATTGGGGAGAGCAGAATGTGCAGAGGGGAGAGGGAGGGCTTGCCACAGACCCCCACTAACCAACGAAATTTCCGATCTCGTATGGACGAAAAATTCCCATTGGCTGAGAACAACACGTTGTCAATCAACCCTCAAACTAAACAGTCTTCGTGGCAGCTACCTTTTAGAAAATGGCGGACGACGGTGATTTCGAGAAGTTCTGCCCTCAAGAATCGATGTCGAAGTAGAATATTTGTGGGAGCCATCCACTTGTTCAAGCTCAGGGCCTTGATAAGAATGGCATCTTCATTCTCAAACTTGCCCTTAACCAACCACAACATTGCAAAGCTGATGGACGTTGGATCCAAATCATCAATGTTTAAATTTGTATCCATGGCTGAAGTTGGGGGTTGTCCTTTTGTCGGCGAGTCAAACAACGCTTCCCTGCTAGATGTAGGTTTTGCATGTGCCAGCGAGTGGACACGCAAGCTCTTTCTACCTGGACTTTTTCCTGTCGGTGTTGAGAACTTTCATTTCAACGAAACATCATGGGAATCCGGACATTGAGAAGCAGCCTTATTCAACAATTCATCAAACTGGCAAAAACTGTTAGCTTTTCTTGCACAAAGAAGGCATATAATTTGAGATGTGTACGACTTATTTTCGAAGTGAAAACGGACGGTTTGAAGGCGATCGGCGAAGACACACTGAAATTCTTCCCTTTGACACTGATTAAAAATGTTTACAAAACTCTTGAAGCCACTTCCAAATTTAATTTTTAAATCTCCTCCACAAAACTGGCAAACTACGTCTTCTGGATTAACTTTTGGCTTTCTCCCTCTCTTAGATTTTGATACCAGATTCTCCTTGTCGTCTGACATTTCTCACTCACGTGGAGCAAGTTTTAGTTGTTGTTTTGACAGTTTGCATGGTTCACTGAGCTCTCGTTAACGACGCTTTCTGATTGGTTAATTTTAAGAGGCGCTGATTGACATATGCACGATGATATGAATATGAAAATAAGGGGCGTTTCGTTTGTTAGTGGGGGTCTGTGGCAAGCCCTCCCTCTCCCCTCTGCACTTTCTTCTCCCCCAATCCCCCCTCCTTTCCCATAGGGGTTGCTTGGCAGGCTAGTGTTAGAGCAATCATGATGGTGTCAGAGGGATAATGCTGAGGTCCCTCTTGGCTAGCTCATGATGGCAATCTCTGATCATCATAGTGAAGCAAGCTTCAGAAATTACATTGTCCACCCTTCAAGTGAACAGTTAATAGCTTGCTCTGATACCTTTCCAATATGTTGAGTGGAAGGCCACATCAGTGCTCTCAGAGGAAACTATCTTTATGTTCCTGTGAATTTGGCTGTTGTTCATTCATGAAGCATACATGTACACATTGAGCAGTTTGTTTTTGAATTACCATCTGAAAAAAAACTTGTTTGTTTTTAAGAGCCAGAATTTTGGCCAGATTTCTTGAACAATTCACTGAAAATTAGACTAAGAAACTTAAGGCAAGTGTTAAATTCAACCCACCAAACTATTTTAGTTTGTGAAGTATTGCAGGTTGTGAACTTTGAGAGTTTGTGAACTTTGGTAGTTTGACATTTTTTGACAGCTTTAGTCTTGTTAAACCAATCAGATTATTTGAACCGTTCTAACAAGGATTCTGATTGGCTCATGGTAGCATGTTTTAGGAGAGTACAGAACATGCTAGCAACACTGTTGGTCACTTTGGAAAGATGTGTTTTGAAAATCGAAAGTTATGCATTCAATATTGAGAATATGATTCTTTATTATAAAATAAATAGAGAAGCCATGACTGTGCTCTGTTCTTTGTTACAAGCCCATAAAAAGTGACTAGGGCACTCCAGAAATAGTGAGAAACACTCAACTTCGTCTCATGTTTCTCCCCACATTTCTTTCATGCTCTAGGCTTCTCTATTTGTTAAATAAACATCAGCCTCCATATGGCATGCAGGTAAACTAAGATATTTGGTTACTGACACCATATGTTCCAGAAGTGAACAGTTTTCTGAGAGTGAAGCTCAAGGAAAATTTTGAGCTTTGAGGAACAGGTTATGTCCAAGGACATAATATACAAACAGGTAAAAATATTTTTGCATCATATGGGGCCTATTGGGTTGATTACCTTTAAACTGCCTGGTTTGCTCAGGTTTTCATGTACCATGAGAGGTTAGGTGGTACATGATGTTACCTACATAGTATCAATTGATGTGTTACTTTTATTTTCACAGGAGCATGGTCAAGAGTTTAATGGTGACAGTGCCCTCCAGGAATTGTATGATTATGTCAGAAAGTATCAAGATCAGGTAATACTTGACATTCCAAACCTGGTATAAGCTGCAGAGTTGAGACATCAACATGAACAAAATATGTTGATGTAATATATCAAACATGAGTGCAAGGGTTTCATCAGGGGTTCCAAACACTGAGAAACATAATTATGGAAGCACAAGGCAGCAGGCCAAGTGCTTTTATTTTTTTGAGGTGTTTGGAACCCCTGATGAAACACAAAGCACAAGTTTTTTTTAGATGACTTCTCGAATGAAACAAAAAAATATGCAGTGATACAATTTTTTCAGTTGTCCTCCCCAAATGAAAGAACAATAATTTATGCAGCAATGGAATTTTGCCATTTTTAGTAACATTGCATTAACATGCATGCAGGATTAATTGTTTTGGTGCAGTTGGTGTGTGGCCATGAGTGAAGATGGAGGTTACCAAGAATGCAAGTCAGTCGAAAAGCTATTCCCTTTTTTACCAAATGTAAGAACAAATGGGTGATAACAAACTGGTGAATTTCAAATGTCTCGGTTGGTTATAGCTCCAGTTTTCAATCTAGGAGCGCTCTTTGAAGACTTCGATTTACTCAAGGTTGCACAGCTTTTCACCAGCATTGAAGAAATAGATGCAGTAACCTTGAATTACTAGCTTAGGAAGTTTGTGATGGAGGTGGCCATGAAGTTGGGGGAGACATATCAACCAAAGACTGTTTATAAAATAATATTTAGGTCAGTTTTGGAATTGCCGTTAGCAATGTATTAATTATTGAACATGCTTATTAAAATGCAAGTGTTTGATCTGAGATCAAAACCATGTTTCATCTCGGATCAAAACCCTTAAGATTTTCATCTAAGTGTTCATTGGGAATCAAGGTTCATGCATGTGACCCAAATATGCTTCATTTATTGGCTGTTTCCCTCATGAACTATTAATAAATTTGAGAGCATCACATGGTTTTGATCTCAGATCCAACACTTGCATTTTAAGGAGTCTTTTTCAATAATTTCTATAAATTGCGAACAACAACATTCCAAAAATGACCCGAATATTATTTCAAAAGCAGTCTTCTTCGCCACCTTTATCACAAACTTCCTAAGCCAGTAATTCAAAGTTACTGCATCCATTTCTTCCATGCTGGTGGAAAGCTGTATAACCTTGAGTTAATCATAGTGTTTAAGAGCACTCCTGGACCTAAAATGGGAGCTATAACTGACTGAGAAATTTGCCATTGGCCAAGAATTGTTGCTGCCCATTTGTTACTTACATTTGGTATATGAAGGAATAGCTTTTTCAACTAACTTGCGTTCTTTGTAAACCATTTTCAGTTCCCTAAATCTTGCTGCATCATCCTCACTTGTGGTCACACACCAAATACACCAAAATAATTAACCATACATGCATCTTTAATGTGATGTTATAGAATATGGCAAAATTGTACCTCTGCATAAATTCTTGTTTATTCATTTGGGGAGGACAATGGAAAAAACATATCACATCATATTTTTTGAATGTTTTGTTTGAGAAGTCATCTCAAAAACTTCATGTTTCATTAGGGGTTCCAAACACCTCGAAATGACAAAAGCACTCTGCCTGTGGCCTTGTGCTTTTATCTGTATCTTGGTGTTTAGAACCCCTGATGAAACACTTGCACTTGTTTTCAATATATTATGTCAAAACAGGCTCTGAACTGTTATTAACACCACTGTATAGCTTTAGTGTAGCAGACAGGTAGGTCTTGCTCCTAAACAAAGCAAGGAGAGTGGGGAGTATCACTTTTTATGCATCTGTTTTGTTAAGTAAATAGGGTATTGGGAAAATTTGCTCATTTTGAGCTGATAGGGGTTTCAAAAGAAGATTTCATTCCACCCCCTCCTCTCCTAATTTTATAGGAACACCTATCTTGGATGCACGGTATGAAAGAAAAAGTGCAAAATCAGTCGTGGGCAAATCTTTTCCAACTGAAACATTCTTTGTTCATATTTATTGTTTTTCATTTCATAGCTAGCTTTAGTTATCATAGGCCAACATTGCCTTGGTGCAAATCTGCATGCACTGAACCAGATATTTTTAAATAAGCAGTTGACATCATATATTTATAGATATTTAACTCATTATTATTTGTGTTTTGCAAATAACTGAAGTTATTTGGGTAAAAATTTGAAAATGCTGTTAATTTCTTGATAGCTGCAAGATGCTTTGGAAGAGTCTGAATTATCACCCCTGGCTTCTAAGCTTGAGCATGTCATTGCTACAATCTCAGATGACTAACAGTATGATTTGAGCTCTTACCTCTGGTCACATATAACATAATTCATTTCATTATTGGTTTAGCCAGTGTGGTATGGCATTCCACTGTGTGATTGGCACATTTCAGATCTAAGTAATGTAACCTTTAAGAAAAAATCATGGAATAAAAAGGTATAACATCATAAGTCAAAGATTAATTGGTTACCAACACTAAATCAGTTAAAAAGTCCAATGGACAGGATAAAAACGGAAGGGGAAAAGTAATAATATACAGTGCTATGTAAGTGCATTTGCCAACTTGAAGTAACTTAAGTAATGAGAAGCAAGGGGACTGAAGGTCAGAAGTCCTTTTTTCTGCTAAAATGATTGTTCTTTCAATGTTAATGTGATTGCATTTGAAAGCCTTGAGAGGAACATATTTCAGGCCACACCTGGCAAATAGATGAAAACAGTTAGAGAAATAAGAAATAACTGGATGTTTGAGTATTTCATCTGTCAAAACCAAGGTGCCCTGAAAAACATACATATAAGCATTTTACATAGAATATCAGCTTAACTGATGAAACCAAAGTACATTTAATTTAATATTTTAATTAATACCGATGGAGATTTTTTTTATACCCTTTGAGGGGAAGTATGCTCAGAGACCAAGCATCTTTGTATCTCCACAGTTAAAAAAAGTAATGAAAATCTACTCTCCAGCTTGGTTTGATCCAGAAATTCAGATAAGTATTCAAATGGACTAAAACTTAGCCTAAGGACACCACCAGTTTGAAAAGAAGTCAACTACTTGTTTGTACATGCAAATTAAAGGCACTTTTCACAAACAGTTACAGTTCTGGCATGGTTATTAGTTACTCTTTAGAATCTCAAATGAAAGTCAATTTCAGACTTTCTTAAATACTTTTTAATGGTGGAGATGAAAATTAAATGGTTCCCAGAGTATACTTTTCTTTAAATTTAGAGCAATTTCTGTGTCAAGGAGATCCTATTCTAGAACAAGTTCTCAGGTAAATACTAACTGGATGAAATACTTTCATTACTTAATAGAAATTTATATCCATGGCTGGGAAATGTTTATTAAGTTTACCCTTCTCCTATTTATATATAATTTATGTTACACAATTTATTATCCAACTGCATTATGTACAAATAACACACAAATGGAGTACTAATATCCTGCAATATTTTAAGGCTATCTAGACAGTTGGTTGTTTAGCACTGTAAAATAATCAGTTCAACAGGTTAGGTGCACTTTGTGAGTTGTTTTAAAAGGAAAAATATTTGCAACTTAAACAAAAGAAGTAAGTACGAGGTGAAGCAGTTGGATAATAAATAACTTATTACATGTTTTAGTGTGTAATATTTATTTCCTGGATAATTATTTACTAGTAAACTATTGATGGTGTTTCAGCTCTATTGGGTCATATAGTATTGTAGTTACCATATATTTCAAGCCCAAGCTACATGTATATTGTTTGCAATTTGGTGAAGTTTTATTGCTGAGCAAGGAACCTGTTAAAAGGACCTTAGATTTTAAGTGAGCTACCAAAAACAACCAAACAAGTATTTAGGGGCAGTGGTACAATGGGTAATCTCCTCTTCAACTATGGTTCCTCTTCTAATGCAACACCTAGAAGTCAACATGTCTGTTAATGATTTTGTTGTAGCAAGCATAGGATCTCTCTCAGCAACTGACAGAATGCAGCAGCAATTTCTATAAACTTGGAGGTAAAATAATTCAGTAGGTGCGATACTGAAATTAATTTTGTGACTTGTATCACCAATGGTGCAAGAAAATTGACTCAGGTTGTGAGAGGACTTGTCATGTTACTATTCCGGTAGTGGGATTACAGTATAAGGGGAAATACTGTGTTAGTATTTTTCATCAGATAATGCCAGTTTGTGTAGCACTTGAACTTCCTTGCTGTATACAAATTCTCATTTCCTTAAGGGTCCATGATGAGTTGTTAGTGGTAGCCTGTAGAGATTGAAGAGATGTCTGCTTGTAGATTTAATTGACAAACATGGTTGTGTTGAATTTCCTCCTTTCTCCAAGACAGTGCCACAGACATTTAGGGAGAAATTAACATTGATCTTCTTATTAATATCAATGTCAATAGCTTTAAGTGAGAACTGTTAAAATAGAAATACCGGTAGTTTCAAGGAAAAAAGTTTGTTTGGTATATTCTTGTTAAGGTTTGCTTAAATACAGCCACTGGTGGGACTAAAGCATTGTCAGGCATATAAACTTTGTGTTTCGGGTTGGAGTGGCTTTATTTTCATCTAAGTATTACTTGAATTGTACAAACAGTTGGTAATGCTATTGTAAATAAAGTACCTGTTTTTTTTTTTATGTGAGAGTTGTTTGTTTTTTTTTTTTGTAAAGAAAAGTAACTAGAAACCAGACAACTAGGAGGTTACTTTGTAAACTTTATTTTACTACTACAGCTGTTAACAAACCATTATCCACCACATGGTCATATCATTGTTATCAGGTGATTACCAATTACTCTTAAGGTGGCTCGTACCGGTTTTCATCTTTTTGANNNGGGGAACAAAATGTCTGAGCTTGGCGATAATTCCAATTGTGTTACTGATTTTCTGACAAACAACAGAGAGAGAGATCTTGTTGAATGCCATCACATACATCGTGTGTTAAAACATCCCCATATACATTACAAAATATTAATAAAAAGTGAAAAAAAGGTAGGGCTACCTTCTAGGAGTTCAAGTGAAGCACCTCCCCCAGTGCTGACATGACTGACAAGATCCTCAGTACCATATTTGGCACAGCAAGTGGCTGTATCCCCTCCACCTAACAACAACATTGAAAAATAATGCAAAAATATCATCAGTCTGCTCTAGTCTGCAATGACCTGATACTGAGCTTGGACAACTTGCTTTATTATAAGTACCATCAAGAACCAAGAAGTTCTCTATGGTGATAATAAACACCAACTACTACTTAGGCTAGCCACACATTAGACACAGGTATTTTCTTAAGGCTAAGTAATGATCACGGCAGACATATTCAGTGTTGATGGAGCATGTACCTATTATGGTTGTGTTTCCAGCCTTTGTTGCTTCAACGACTGCATTCATGAGACTTTTCGTTCCTGCCTCAAATTTGGCCATCTCAAATACACCCATTGGACTACAATGCAGAAAGTTCAGAATGAAAATAATGACACAAGTAAAACAAAGGCCAAATGTGTTACAATGATGTGTTCTTCAAATACAAAATGAGCATTTTTTTAAACCAGTAACTAAATCATCTTTCTGTAGTATAACTTACAAAAGAGGAACTGGGGTAAACAAGGGACAGCATTTCATGCCATAAAGGATTTTAACTCTCTTAGCCAAGCAATCAGGCAATTCGTTAATCTTAATATTTTTAAACATAATACTTGTGACTTAAGGAATTTCATACCATGTTATTTTAAAATCTGTGATCCATGTGAATTTTAATTTAATGTGTTGTTTCTTTTTATATATTTTATATATTTTTAATTTTAATGTACAAAAATTTTTTTTGTTTTGTTTTTTGTTGGAGATCCTTTTTGAAAACCATATTTTATATTAAAAAGTCATCTCAATAAAGATTATTATTATTATAGATATTGATCACCAAAATTAATGACCACCCCATTTGTGACATTCTCAATGCAGTGTGGAAGAATGTTAACAGCCTCAATTCTAAATTTAAAATCAGTGTTGAGGCAAACCAGCCCACAAAAGCTAATAATCACAGGGCACAAAACAACTGTCCTGAACAATAAAATGTGTATTAAGATAGATCTTCAGACTAAAGAAAGTGTAAGTTAAACAGTTCTCTGCATCCTTGTTTGTGCTCTGCCTTGTATCAGAAAGAAAACGGATCAGTATACAAACTGCATTTGGCTACCTGCTGTGTTCACATTTTTATGCAGCCACTTTTTTCTCGTTGTGAAATTATACTTATCAAAGCCAAAAAAGTATTACTTAACGCCATCTTAACTACGTAAGTGAACAAACTCCAACTAACTTCTAATTTCAACACAATACTGCGAAAACTTCAAAACTAGTTGGATGAAACTAGGTAAACTTACTCCTCCCAGGTTCTCAAATTATTGGTAAAAGAGTACTGTCAGTTGGATCATCACAAATAAAAACTGTTCAATATCACAAATCTTACTGTGCACTTACCCATTCCACACAATAGTTTTTGCTCCTTCTATAACCTTAACGAATGTCTTGACACTTTCTGGACCAATGTCTAATCCCTAGTGAATCACATAATTTCATAATAAAAATAACTCAATACACAAATTTCAGAAATTGTCCACCCTCCCTCCCAAAAATATTTTCAATCCTTCACTTCTTGGAGGGTGAGGATGCTTTTTTAAACTTCTGTCATCGAAAACAGTGCTCAACCCCTTACCAATTTTTATGCAACAAAGAATGCACAAGATAAAAAATGTGCCCTTAAAGTCTAAAAATCTTATATTATCATTACAAAGTAATAATAATATCATAAGGATGTGTATAAGGATTTATATTTGTAATTGATCACAGGTATACCACAAAATCTTTGGTACACATAGAGATTATGGAACAAGCTCAACAGCAAACCCTGGTTAGCGTGAAGACATGTTAAATATGTATTTTCCTTATGCAAGCATATCAATGCTAACTATAGTGTATTGACTTACCATCCAATCTGCTGGGATTCCTGATGCTAAGGTGGCACTCCCAATCTGTGTATTAGTGGAAACAAAATTTATATCGACAATTTTATGAGATTAAGGGTATTTGAATTAAAATTGAAATGAATTCTTTAATGGAGTCATTCACTGCATACAATACATAGGTTAGTTAGCCACTCCCCATGAGGGCTTTTCAGGGCCAATTCCACCCATCCCACCCCAGAGGAAGACATCCATGACACAGTAATCTCGTGCGTAGGAAATTAACATCCCCTACCCCTAACCCTGCAGGAGACGGGGCATACAGTTTATTGGTCCTTATCCAAGAAGACTACATTATCTATCCATTTCTTGATTATAGAAAGGTAGCAATTTCTCCTCACTTATTTTAAGACCACGAGTACTGGTCTGCCCAATGCACTAAATTGGTCTGGCCAGTGCACTGAATTGTTCCTATATTTTAAAATAATGGTTTCCCTAAAGTGCCTTTTAATTTTTGTGTTGGCAAGAGCAACTCATTATTTTATTGTACACATTTTAACCTTAAAAACAAACACAAGAAATGCCAAGAACTCTCACATATAAAGAATACTCTCCAGGTGTACATCCATTTGATGCAGAGTAGCATTGTTCTTTGCCCAAGTTATCTTTTGCCCATGAACAGACAACTCAAGCAAAGTAAACTAGAAACAAAAGATCAGAGTAATGAAATCCTTGTGGCACTGTTAATCCTCTCATAAAAGAGGCTTCACACATGACTGAAGATCCTGATGGACAATGTTATAGCAGAACTACGAAGCAAATATGGCATTGTATAACTTGCCTCTGCATCCTCCGCAAATTTGCTGGCTGTAACAAAATCAACAGGCAAATGGAGGGTCACTCCTTTTTCTTTGGCCTTTTTATAGAGGTCACTAACTATTTTTGAACCTTCTTCATCAAAAAGTGACTTGCCAATCTAAACAAAAAATGTATTTGTTACATAGGTCATAGTCTTACAATGTCATTTTCAAACTAACCATTTCCCTAAATAATTATTTGCAGATCTTATATTTATATAACTGTAGACAGAAATCCAGCGAACTCTTGTTATTGTGACCACTGTGTCACCAATGGAAGTCAAGTCGAATTCCATTCTTGTCGATGCATTGATAATATTTTGAACTAGGGGGGAGGGGGAGTGAGTTTGTTCATGATTGTTTTATAAATAAAAAGTGAAAAAACTTCAAGGTTACAGAGCATCATTTTATATATAACATTCATTTCTTATTTTCCAAAAATACACCACTGCAGGAATTGAATCAAGAGAGAGAGCTTGGGGATGATTTTTTTAATACCTCCATGTTACTAAGTACTTTAGTGAATGTGTATGCCATTCCACCTCCAATGATCATCTCATTTACTATTTCCAGTAAGTTTTCAATGAGCTGAATCTTGTCAGCAACCTTGGCTCTAAAAAAAAAATATATCTTTTCTGAATTCACAAAAAGAGATCCAATAAATTTCCCCCATTATTTACACCTTTTTGTCCTTTAAATTATCCCTGGATATACATTTGGAAAATTAATGGCAAGTTATATTAGAGATTTCATCAATCTGCTGAGAATGGTAAAGGGACGGCAGAGACCATTTTAAAGTGATAGGGCAAGAAAATCTGGCCAAATACAAACAAACGCTAAGAAGTGTTCATCATTTATCTCGTACAGTTTTACCAAGCCTTTGGCTTGACACCTTTTATTACTTTCAAGTAGTAAAATCCATATTCTGTCCATCTCATCTGGAGCCCTAAGAAATAAATCCCGGCAAAATAAAAGTGGTATGGGGGGGAT